CCCCAAAAGTAAACACGTTTGAATAATATATAAAAAAAGAGACTGAAGTAGAAGTAGAAGTGAAAGAATAAAGGAACTCTCATGGCATATAAAAAAAGGAAAAACAAACACCGAAATTGGAACAAAGGGTGCTAAAACAATAATAGTACAAGTGGAGACGATTCAATCACAGACAAAGGGCTGACATTCTCCAAAGGAGTCAGAGATCAATCAAACGATCAACCTACTTGGTGGCCTTAGTGGCCTTTGCCTTTGGCTTAGCTGTGGCAGCCTTCTTAGCTGGCGCCTTTTTCGTCGTCGTGGTCTTTGTAACCTTACCAGTTGTGGAGGCCTTCTTTGCGGTTGGCTTTTTAGCTGTAGCAGTCTTCTTTGCTGGTGCCTTCTTTGGGGCTGCTGCTGCAGTGGTGGACTTCTTAGTGGTGGTGGCCTTCTTAGCAGCTGGCTTCTTAGCAGTAGCCTTCTTTGCGGCTGGCTTCTTAGCAGCTGGCTTCTTAGCAGCTGGCTTCTTAGCAGCTGGCTTCTTTGCGGCAATGGCAGCCTTGTTGAGCTTGACTGGGCCGGAAGAACCCTTTGGTTGGATGAACACTTCGCTGGCAACACCACGTCTCAAGGCAACGTTGAACAACGAGTCAAAGTTGGCGGCGGTGATGTTGTAGTTGGCGTGGATGTACTTCTTCAAAGCTTGACGGGAAGAACCGTTACGGTCCTTCAAGGAGAGGATACCAGCCTTGATCATCTCTACACGTTCGACATGTTAGTATTCAACAGATTCGTCGTGTCCTCATCTCCATCTGGCCCCTTTCAACTGGAATGAAATTTCAAAACAACTAATAAACAAACCACTTCAAAAGGGGGCGAACTAGATAAACACTCAGAGAGAGGGGGTGGCATAAACACAAACATACCAGCATATGGAGGATGGTCTGGGGTCTTCTTGGTTGAAGTTGTGGTCTTCTTAGTTGTTGTGGACATTGTTAATTACCTGAGTGTTAGAGTTGATGATGATTACAAGGAATAAGTGATAGAAAGAAGAAGGGAAAGAATTTTATCCACTGTGGTTTTTTTTCTATTCTATTGCGGGCCCCTCGTTTGTTTATTTTCCAACCATGCGCGCGTTTGTTTTGATTTTGTAGCCTATGTGCAGAGGCAATTTGACCGATCTGTGTGTTTTCGCTTGATAAATTATCTGTAACCATAACAACTGACCCTTCTAAAGTGGGAGTTTTTGCAACCGCAAAGAGATTTGTTGGCGTGATTTCCCCGCTAAAACGGGAAATACGTGATGTGAATTACACCCCTAAGGTGTGTAAATGTCAGTACGGGTGCACCCTACGTATTCATCAATCGACGTGTCTACCATACTGATATCGGAATTCAAACACGCATTCTAACGCCCCAGTAACCTACGTACTGTGAGAGTAATAACGGCGAGTTCTAGAGCATGTGTGATAATTTGAATTGATGTGCTCATTGGTAAAAATTTTCCCCGTAGCGTGTTTGTTAATTTTCAAGATTAAAGATAAAAGGATCACAGCAGGATTCGAACCTGGAACGAATTGTCTGAACTTTGCTATGGAGGGGGGGGGGGAAAAAGAGGTAGAAAAAATTGTAAACAAACCTCATCACATTGCCTTAAGTGTAGTTCAACCCTTCCGAAGGAGCTGTGGTTTTATCATGTCCGACATTAATACGGAAGACGGTTCTCTCTATTCAGGAGAACAAGTCGTCTCTGCATCAACCGACTCCCAAGGCTCATTTCATAAAAGGGCTCTAGACCATCTTGATGGTTCTACTAGTGGGCCAGAATCTGAAAGTGCCAAACGTCAAAAACTTGACCAAGATGATATAGAAGGTACTTATGGAGAGGATGCTGCGGGTCTCGACGGGGAAGATGTAACTCAATCTGGAACACAGAATGAAGCACATACTCCGGAAGAGCACATGGAGAGTGTGTCTACTGAAGAAGTGCCTACAGATGCAATAACTGGGAAGAAAACATCTCCCGATGAAGTACAAGTTGACCAAGTGCAAGCTGACCAAGTGCAAGCTCAGGTAATACAAGATGAAGAGGGTGCTGAGTCTCAAAACGGAGCCCAATCTCCGGAAGAAGTGCAAGCACATGACGGGAACAAGTCTCACGAAAAGACTGACTACATTCTCAAAGACGGTATTCCAATACCCTCTGACTCGGCGCTTCTCACATCTGTATATATACCACAATCCACAGAATTGTCACAGCGTATGCTGATTAAGGCAAATCTCGCATCATTACCCTTGTCGCTACAAGCAAACGATTCCCTGCCCATTAGGGTACAATTCGTCATCAACACAGTTCCGGTGTTGGATAACGTTGCAACACAAATACTTCGAATCATAGGTGTTGCACCTTATGAGGAAACACTGGCAATAGTTACCACTGATGAGCCTACTCCGGAAAGCCTGGTCTTTGGCGATTTGGTCAAACTGTTTGGACAGGTTAAGGAATTCTTCAGCGTCGAAGATCCATTTTTGGACATGGAACACATTGTAGACGATCGCTCGACATTGTCTGAAGATGGACTGAAAAGTTTGAAAGAAATTGAACAGACCATTGATACTGCACTAAAGAAATCCAACCTTGCAACGTTCCTACTAGCGGCTTTAGGTGCTGTGGACGTTGGGTTATCATATCTGAACGAAAGTTTCTTAGACGTTTTCTGTCCAACCCCTTGTGGGAACTGGTTTAACGGTAAAATGGGTTCTGGAAGTTTCACGGCAGGAAAACTGCTCAAGGCACAGGCTGGATTATTCCTCGAGTTGAAAACACAAACTTACATTTCAGGTGTGGAATTCAGTGAAAGGCCAAAAGAAGAACTCTTGGATGAGATCTTTCCTTTTAATTTACAAGATTTGCTTCTAAGACGTCGTCAAGCTGCACAACTCACACCTGTGGAATCTGATTTTATCTTCAAATGTACCACACGCCGTGACACTTTGCTGAACTCCCCTGACACGGAAGATTTAAGTGAGAACTACGATTGGCTTATCTTCTTAAAGGAGCTCTTTGGATATGTATCGAAGAACATTGGATTCCTTTTGTGGGGGCGTAAGCCTCGGACGTCATTGCTTCCATCGTTAACGGATCTGACCTCTCCTACAACAATAATTCCATCAGACCTGACCCACTTGACCAAAGAGGAAATTCACAAACGTTTGGAGGAACAGAAGGAAAGGGAAAAGGAACTGCAACAAGAGGCCGAAAAAGAACCTCTTACCGCAAAGCGGAAACGTGTTGTACGAAGACCAAAACCTGTTCTTGTAAAATCATCTCAGTCAAAGTCCACAACTGTTACACCACGCATCAAAAACATGCTGCGTAGAGCATGGTCTCCTGAAGAAGAAGAAGCCCTTGTAGAGGCACTCAAAGAGGTTGGTCCTCGTTGGTCAAAAATTCTTGACTACTACGGTCCCGGTGGTACCAAAAGTGAGGTTTTAAGAAACCGTACACAGGTTCAACTCAAGGACAAGTCCCGTAATTGGAAGATGGCATACTTGAAGAACTCACAACCTATGCCAGATTATTTGAAAAAGGTTACTGGTGAATTGGAACGTGATGACAGGGCTATGGATGCCAGAAGGAGAAGAAAACAAAGACTTCAAGATCAAAAGAAAGCCCAAAAGAAAGCCCAAATGACTGATGCGAGTGAGATCACCTCCAAAGAAACCACGCCCCTTGAACATATCGATGACGCTCTTCCTCAGAATAATGACAATGAGCCTCTTGATGGTACTTCTACCTAGTTTCTGTTTTCTCAATCTTAACTGATGAATTACACGTTAACTTACTCATCATGAATCATTAATCAAGCGTATCTCAATTATAATCTCAGTTCCTGATTTAATCCATTTCGCCTGTAATGGGAATCCCTGATCCTAATATGTAATGGTAGTTTCAAGTCCAATGGCGGCCTCTAATGTGGCAGGCGTAACTGTTTTGTGAAGTCATAGTCGAAAATACTCCTTTCGGCTAGTTATACAGTAAAAAAGGCAAGATGTTGGTTAACTAATCATGCTTCGTAGCTTATACGTAACATCCCATCTCTAAAATTACAACCGCATCTGTTCCTAAGAGTTTACATTCTTCTACCGTGTAATCGCCATGTCAACTTCCAATGTCATATATGACTTCAAACATCACTTGGCCATGCGTTCAGCATCTGTGCACTCAACGAACACACAGCTCCCAAAAGCTAATCGATATACAAAAAAATCTCACGAGATCCAACGATTAAAACGAATATCGCATTGCACACAGCTGGCTGCTGTATTGTTGCATCAACTTATGCAGTATCATGCACCACTCATGCAACTATGGATGCCTGTTCGCGAAGATCAAAAAAGAAAGATTAGTGACAACCGCGAGGTTCGAACTCGCGCCTCCGAAGAGACCAGGACCTTAACCTGGCGCCTTAGACCACTCGGCCAGGTTGCCTACTACCTTGCTGTGTACGGTCTTCAGATTGGCTTTGTTGAGCTAATCCTTTCCATATTAGTTTGGGCCATGACAACTTGTTATATGTCAAACATCACATCACCTCTCCTATCTTAACGCTATAGTACATTCCCTTAGCTCTTTGTAGAGCACAATTGACCATCCTCATCTTCGTTTATGGATACTTATTAAAGCTCAAAATGAGGCCAAATCCGCACATACAGTTTTCCTGATGCATGAATGCTGCTTCCTTCCTAATTTGGCCTTAGTTCTGGAAGCTGGGTCCTATCTGAAATGAGGCTCCAACAGACACAGTCGGAACACTTACGCTGTCTATCATCACTCCTTATCCTTTTTTTTTTCAGTGACGTTCCTTTTCATCTCTTGATGGTATCTTCACGGTTACCACCTTTGTGTGTAAGCTCTCTTGGTTGTACAGAACACCTTTCCGTTCACTAGAGAACATCACCAGAATCAGACACATAACGAGATACGCCCCCACTGAAACTCTACCAACAAACCCCCACTCAGTCATCAATTGTGCCTCCAGTTTGCGTGAGTGGGTCATAACGTTAATCTCTGTGCTATATAACAGACCACGGTACAAGTACTCTGGAGTTCTGGAGGGGTGACAGGAACACTCAGCCATCTTGAGCTCTATATGCAAGTTGATCGTCAGGTGCATACGATGTCTCAACCAGAAAATACATTGGAGTATATCAACACCAGGATTGAACAGGCACGCTTAGAGACAAGACAGCTGTATCAGCAGATTGACAAAGTGAAGGCGAAAATAGTGGACTCAACGTTGAAGGATTGTGCCGTCAATGTAGCGTCTTTGTCAAAGACGGCCTTGAATCTAAAGCCACTGCAAGTGCTGAAAGGTCACAACAACAAGATCGCAGATATGAAGTGGAGTGCCGACTCTAAGTCTATACTCAGCTGCTCACAGGATGGCTTTCTCATTATTTGGAACCCGACAACGGGGATGAAGCTAAATGCCATCCCTCTGGACTCACAATGGGTGCTGTCATGTGCCTATTCGCCAAATGGACGACTAGTGGCATCTGCAGGCTTAACGAACAACTGCACTATCTACTCAGTTCCAGATATAGATGGCGGGAGTTCTGCCTTCCAACAAAGGATTGTGAGTGTATTCAAAGGACACACCTGTGGTATCACAGCGTGCGATTTCATCGACAACCACAGCATTCTAACGGCTTCTGGAGATATGACCTGTGCCAAATGGGATCTCAATAAGGGGCAGCGTGTCGTTGAGTTCCTAGATCACTTTGGAGACGTGCTGGCTATGGGCATCAATCGTCAGAGCCTCAGCAATGGTGGCGGAGATTGCATCTTTGCCAGTGGTGCCTCTGATGGATACGCTAGGATCTGGGACACAAGGAACAATGGCTCAATCTCACAACAATTCTTCGTCTCCAATAGTGATATCACCAGTATACAATTCTTCGCCGATGGTAACTCGTTTGTTACAGGCAGTGACGATGGCATAATAAGACTGTACGACGTTAGAGCAGACTGCGAACTAGCAAAGTATTCCTTGCCGGAAATGGCTCAGCAACACTATAACCAAGAGATTGACCGTACTTATTTCCACCAATCCCCAATGTATCAAGAACAACTCCTGGAGTACAAGCGAGCCAGGCCTCTGTCAGTTGAAGAGATCGACTCGGCACTCAACATCTCAGGGGTTATGTCCTTGGACTTCAGCCAGTCAGGAAGGTTGATGTACTCGTGCTATGCAGAACAAGGGTGCTATGTTTGGGATACTCTGAAGAGCACAATTGTCGGCAAGTTGGATGGCCATTCGAATAAGGTATCTAAAGTCTCAACATCGCCTAACGGATACGCAGTATGTACTTCATCATGGGACAGCACCATGAGGGTATTAACTCCATCGTACATCTAGCACTTGTGCCATAGGACTCGTGAATGAGACGCTTCCTATACACTAAGAGGATGATATAGTCCATATACCTCAGATCATGGATAGTACCAATAAACATTAACAGAGGAAAAATGGAATAAAAAAACAGTACATATAACAAAAACCATCCATTGCTTTCTCATTAATCACAAAACACTACTCAATTCTTTTCTTTACGTACTCCCACAAGCTCTTCAACAGGCTGTCTGGTAATGTGTACAAGTCCATTGTGAATTCACCGCCTTCAACGTCATTTTTAATGTTCATATCAGGTGTTCTGTTGTCTGTAACCATCTGTACAACACCCAACAGGTCATCCTCAGAGAGCTTTGTCAACCCTTCAGCCAATTTTTCCAGATCCACTGAGCCTTTGACTGCATTTGCCAGAGCAGATCCACTAGGTTTGGCCCTTTTGGCCTTATTGGAGTCAGTGCCAGTAGCTTTACGCTTGTCTCCTGAAGAAGCATCGACACTTGGGACAGCACCTGACTCTGCCAACAAGGATTTTAGCTTTTCACTCTTCAAAGGGCAATGTATAACGTGGTCAACCTCGTACTTCTCCTGGAGGAAGTTCAAGTCGTGGGCAACCTTTCTGTCCCCGGCCTTGTCGACAAAGGTGAAGGTGATCCCGAGTTCAAACTCACCCCAACCTTGCTCTTCAATCTTGAAAGGCTGCTTCTTGATCACACGCACTGGGTTGGCGAACGTGGGATGGAGATGATACGTGACTTTATCAAAGATATTGGCTGGAACTTCATTCCCTTGTTCGTCAAGGAGGTAAACTTCAATCGACCACTGACGCACCGGAAACCCCTCCGGTGGGAGTGGGAGCCCTTCAACAACGTGTTGATGCGTAACAATACGAATGGTTCTGTCAACGGACTTTGGCTAGATAGCACTAAGCATTAGTACATTCGTCCACGAAATTATCAATTGGAGAAGCAGGGAATCAATCGTTGTCCCGTCATGGAGATTCCAATGGCGTTTCCCATGTTCGAAGAGTCTATGGTATACCGTCATCTACTCACAACAGCAAGAGACACTCTCATCACGCAACATCATTCGTCCCACTCCAACAGATACAGCCATGTACTTACTTCGGACATTATATAACTCAACGTCTAATGGTGTTGTAATTTTATCACCCTTTCCCGTTAAACCTGTTTATGAGCTGCTTTGTACTAATTCCCCTTCTCAGGTTTCCCGGTTGTCTGTCGTTTCCATGGAGGCGTCGTCGAATTTCCGAAATTTTCGTTTGTCCACAAAAAAAGAAAAAAAAATGTCCTGTCTCTGTCTCTGTGGGTTTTCGTGTTTGTTTGTTTTCGCAAATTTCAGGACAAATGAGACACGCGCGTTATGTGTAAAGAGGCACAGGGTTCAATTAGGCCAACCATTATTACTACAATTAGAATGATGACAAGCTTAGCCAAAACGTGTACTATTCTACACAATCAGAAAGATAATGAACAGTGAAAATAGGAAGATCAGTGTAGCAGGTAGAGCAATCTTCGGTGACTCGTTCTTTGAGGAACGGAATGGGTTCTTGATTGGCTTTCTCTTGTTCGTTCTCACACCAACGGTGGCCCTAGTCCGCTGAGTAACTTGCATGCTTTTGAACGGGTGATTGTTGTTGTTGTTGTTGTTGTTGTTGTTGTTGTTGTTGTTGTTGTTGTTGTTGTTGTTGTTGTTGTTGTTGTTGTTGTTGTTGTTGTTGTTGTT